TAATTAACGGCTTGTCCCATTCACCTTACAATAACGGTTCTGCTTTGCTTAAGGATGTATTTTGACATAATGGACTGTACTTAACTCTAACTCTGCATAAATATTGAGCAGTATCTCTCTCATGTTTATACTCCGCTGATATAGCAGTGTATGCATCATTTTGATTTGTATGGTGTTGCTGTAGCCTCTCACAGGTGTATGAAAGAAAATAAACGCTGATTTCTTTTTTTATGTCTTCAGATTACGATGACGGGTTCTCTACAAAGCACTCGGCTGCAGCTCGTTTCCAACGCAACCACCGTCTGATCAGCGAGATCCTCAGTGAGAGCGTGGTCCCTGATGTGCGCTCAGTTGTGACCACTGCTCGCATGCAAGTCCTCAAACGGCAGGTCCAGTCTTTGATGGTACACCAGGTATGATGAGGTCTTCTATACTTCACGTAATTGTTAGTTGGGGCTTAATAATGTAATAACCGCGGTGCCTGTGTGTTTCGTGTCAGAGAAAGTTGGAGGCAGAGTTGCTTCAGATCGAAGACCGCCACCAGGACAAGAAAAGAAAATTCATCGAGGCCACAGAGTCGTTCACAAATGAGCTGAAAAGGGTACGGCAGCTTTTCACATCGAATTTGGTCATCGCTTACTCGCACGCAAGCTCATTTGGCAAGTTTAACTGCAGCTCTGGTTGTGTGCCAGTCTACGTCTGCCTTACAGCCACCAGCTGCTGCTAACTCCATCCACATGTTCTGGCAATCATATAGCTGTCATCGTTTACAATTTGTGGCCCCATAATAACCGTTGTTTTGAAATGAGATGCAGCACGGTGCAGTTAAATGCACTGTCAATTGCTCACAGGAGGCGGCGCCATTTAGCCTTTACACTTACAGCACCCATGCACTGAGTGAGAAGACATTTGATAACCTTTATTAAAGTAACTAAGTGCATTTACTCAAGTACTGTACTTAGTACAATTTTGAGAGACTTGTACTTTACTTGAGTATTTGCATTTTTTGCTATTTGTACTTCTACTCCACTACAATTCAGAGGTAAATGGTGTACTTTTACTCCACTACATTTATTTAACACCTTTAGTAACTTCACAGATGTGGATGAATGATGTGAAATATAATCAAGTCTTAAATCAGACTTTAGTTCCACCTGGAGTAAATTCACAAGCTACCCTGCAGTATACAAAGTCATTCAAACTAGCTGCACCTTTACCAGCTTTGAGAACACTTTCATGATCAATCATTATAAAACATATCATATATATTATTCTGAAATGGGCCAATCTGCATAGTGAGTACTTTTACATTTGGTACTTTAAGTATATGTTGATGCTAATACTTTTGTACTCTTACTTCAGTAACATTTTTATTGCAGGGCTTTTACTTGTAACAGAGTATTCCTACACTCTGGTACTTTTGCTTAAGTACAAGATCTGAGTACTTCTCCCACCTCTGGTTATAGAACTCATTAGTTACATACGTAAGTTTTATTGTTTTTCAAACTTGCCCATATATGTGTAATCTATAATTTTGTAAGTATCAAAAAACATTATTCCAAATAACACATATAAATGCTCAGGAGTGCAGCAATTGCTTTCACCATTTACATGTAATGAACTCCCCGGTTGCTGTGCTTTAAAGCTGTGCTGTATGAAGGTGGAAGTGGACATGGAGAAGATTTCTACAGAGATTTCAGCAGCAGAAGAGGCAGCCCGCAAACACATGGCAGACCGTGAGAAGGATGCAGGAGACAGAGGAGCACGGGAGGCCCCCAGCTGTGTCTTAGCAGAAGAAGATAAACACGTATGTGCCACACACGGCAGCAAGCCCAAAAACCCTCTGAGTGAAGGGGGCAACAAAGAAGGCGAGGGAGCAGAAACCAGCAGCACAGAGACACACGGTGAGCTATCTGGCCGTCATGTTGTTTAAGGAGAGATCCACCTTAATTAAGAATTCCAGTATTGGAGATTTTAAAGCCAGACACCAGAGACTTAAGTTTCCAACTTTTCATCAATATAAAGTTTAGAGGCGCACTATAGGCACTGATGGGAGACGGATTCTGTAAGCTTTATTCTATTGGAGTGTCTTCAGTTCCCAAACTGAAAGTGTGTCTTCTCCAATTCATTGTTTCCTGAGCAATTCCAGACAAGATGACATCACACATTTGATATTTAGCAATCTAGTCTTTTGATTTCAGAAAGAAACTTGTATTTTTGGACAGTACTGGACCTCAAGAATAATGAATGTTGAATAAAGGCTTATTTCCCCTGTAACCTCATTTTCTTTGTTTCCTTGACTCAGGGAAGCCAAAATCCTCTGAAGAGGTTGAGGCTCATCCAGGCAGCGAGGAGGGGGCATCGGAGGACAAGGAGAGCGTCCCAGAGGGAGCCATGGAGGAGGGGTCCAGCGACAGTAACACGGGCTCAGAGACCACCTCTGCTCAGACAGAAGAGGCCCAGCCCAGTGAGCCATCAGAGGGGCCCAGCAGGGCGAGAGCAGCTCAGTCCAACACCTAACTGTTTCACCCTCTGATCATATATATATTACACCGTATCATCTCAGTTTGTCAAAGCATATGAAGAACATCCACATGTTTCAAAAGCTTGAGGCAAAGATGATGTTTTAGCCGAGTTTGAAAACACCAAGGCTCCCAGACATGCGCTGAATACAAATTAATGATGAATATAAAGCACTTGGAGCCGACAATGCAATGACCCTGTCCAAAAGAAATGATCAATGGCTGCTACAGTAAGTGTGCCACGTGAAAGCACTATCTTTCCTCCACAGGCTTCTGGCCACTTGGAAGAACCCATACAGGCCCTCATATGGACATATGCACATATGGATACATATCTCTAGCACTAGGTCTGGCAGGGGAAGACAGGCTATTAGAAAGAGAAGGCTGTCACATGAAACAAACATTGTTCAGTGTTATATTTAACTTAGTCCTTTGTATTGTAGTGACCTTGTTGCTATTATTGTTATTTTTGCATGTTGCTATTTAAAAAAAATTAAGTCAGCATACTTGTGAAGCTGGAGAATATTTGTTTACTCTTTGTATCAGTATTACAGTGACAGTATTGTCTCAGGAGTTTGTATTCATTAGTAATAAGTATTTTTGTCATCATTTTGTATCATACTTGTGTATTTGTTGTCAACACGATCATCAATGCTGTACAATGCTTGACCATCTGTGTTCTCAAGTTTGCTAGCTGTCAATCAAATCAAAAGCAGTACGCTTAGAACATTTCTGTGTTATGATCAAATTTGCTATTTTCCCCCGAAAACCTTTTAAATGTACCGTAATTGTGTACACCGTGTAACGAGGTTTGCTTGAACTTACCATGTTGTGAAGCAGCTTGAAGAATATTCATAAACATGCAGTCTTCAAATGAATTTCTTTTTGCATATTTATACCAATAAACTTTTCTACCCTGAACAAGCTCTCAATTGATTGTTATGACAAAATAAATTGATGCAAGGTGACATTTATATTTTAAATAGTAGACTTTAAAACTATTTTCTTTGATAACATTACTTTAAGCCAGGGGTGTCAAACCTAAGGCCCGGGGGCCAAATCCGGCCCGCGACTTCATTTCATGTGGTCCCACAAGAGCTTGCAAAGAATATGATATGTTTATTATACGGTTACATGCCGATTTACAGAAGCACATTGCCCATAAACTACATGTCCCACAATGCATCTGCATTGTTTTTTTTTGTTTTTCCAGAATTTGGCTTTTCTTTTTAAATCATTTTGTGACATGCGCACTGAAGAGACTTGCAATTGTTTGCCCTAGACTTCTGCTTTCAGACGTAGTTAATTATGAAGTTATTATTACCCTATCAGATAATACGGAGGCATAATGTAATATAATACATTATTTTATATATATCAAATATTTATATATTTATTCTTATATAGTCTTATATATAAAACTGGCCCTTTGAGTGCAACCATGATGCTAATGTGGCCCGAGTTGAAATTGAGTTTGACACCCCTGCTTTAAGCAGTCAGTGTTGCAGAGCTCTGTAACAAACACCTATACAAAGTGTGCTTGCATATAGCTATTGGTCCCCTGCACATATAGGTAAGGGAAGTGGGTAAAATGAGAGGGAATGGTTCCGATTTCCTGTTTTCACTACAGAACCAATCTCCTCGTGCTTGTGATGTGATCCAGCATTATTTCCTAAACTTAAACCATCCATGAGATTGAAGCTTTTCTCCTTATCTTTGGTTTTTGCTCTTATAAGATGGTGTTAAGATCAGATTTGACAGTGCTGTAGTTTCAATGTAAAAGATGCCGCCTGCATTGCAACTTGCCCCCCTCTGTATCGTGCGGTTCGCCCTGCCTCAAGTGAAAACAAGATACCACAACCGCAGACACAGGTGTGCAGAAGCATGTGCACATCGTGTGAGTAAGTGTGCAAAAGGGCCTCATCTTCAATTTACTTGTGTCAATGGGTTTTAGACCTTGATTTGTGTGTGATTTATAAGTTATTTTAAAAACATTCCAATTAAAATATGAATGTAGCTGTAAATATAATATGCAGCTGATGGTTAATGGTTGCTGAGCACTTCCAGATAATTATCTATGCAGTGTGTGTCTTTGAGCAATCAGTGTCTTTTTCTAAAGAAAGTGATTTACATGAACCATTTACATGTCATGCTTTACACCTCAGCTTCCCCTTCTCACATATTTCCTTTAATAAAATATTGTAGTAAGTATACATTAATATAATTGAGTATATTTGTAACTTTTTCCCTGAAAACACAAACCTGAAGAAATGGGAAGATGTCACATGTCACAGTTGTATCATAATTATTGATGTTATTGCTGTTTGAACTGATCTAATCTACATATTTGAATCAACAATACACTGTAGTGCCAATAATTGCAAGTTTAAAGTCTATGGTTTTCTCACATGATACTGAGGAGAAAAAAGACGTCAGTGAGGAAGTTCTGTCTTTCATTTCAACAAAGGGAAACCACCATCAAACAGAGAGACATTCAGCCCTCTGTGTTCAGCGGCTCTACCTCCAGCGCTCGGCTCTCAGTCAACATGAGGTGTGAGTACCTTATCAAAGTTTAACTTGCATAGTTCAAAAGTTGTTGAATGAGTTGTGGTTAGTGCATTGCGAAGGATATCTGTAAGTTAAAACAGGGAAAAAGTTATTCAAGTAATGTCAAAAGTAAATCTCGTATAAAATGAATGATTGTTAGTTATAGTCTTACAAAACATATGTAACCTGTTCAATCAGCAAAATGTACCATGGCAATGTGTTAAATGATGGAAAGTGGTGTCAATGCTATAATCGTTGAAGCGTGTCATAGTTTTTTTTTTAAAAGCACACTAATAGAAAGCCACACAAGGTGGTGTGCAGCAACACAGACATGTTGCACGAGGTGAACTTCAAGAATGTTTTATTAGTGAGAACTGTTCGTACGTAGTCATTTCAGACAACACTATTTTTGAAGAAGCCTCAACCTGGCAACCAATGTCGCTACTAAACTCATGCTTATTATTATAAAATCAAATAAACAGTTACTTGCAAAGATAGATTGAAAATTGTGAATGATTGAAAATCTTGTCTTATTTTCCATTAGTTACTGTTAGTGACATTTATGTGGAACTTTATCTTTTATAAAAATACAGAACTATGTTTTTTTCAATGAGCTTCTACAACATTACCACTGGTTGCAGAGGAACCCTATTATTTCCAGCAATATGCAAAGTAATGTCACCAGTGATCTGAAACACAACCAAACCTAAAAGATTTGAGCCGTATGGTGGCATTTAAAGGGGCAAATGATGAGGAGTTCTGCTCAGCCACTATCAAAAGATTGTATAACGTATTAGAACGTATAACAATGTTGAGGAGCTTTTTTCAGTCTAAGAAAATAATAACGTCTTCACATTAATATCTACTACACATAATGATCATACTATTATCCATCATACTATTATAGTACTTGGCCTTCTAAAAATGTGCATATTGTTTTTCAGATCTTCCAAACCTTCTGCCAGCTGTGCTGATATGGTTAATGCATTTTAAGGTAAGAACAAAAGTGTTGCACCTGTTATTACAGTTGTTAACATGAACAAAACAAATATGTATATGTTTGTAGCAATTGATACTTACTTATAGGGGAGAGCAGCAGGTAACTAACCACGACCTTCCCCTCACAAGCACCATTTCCTCTTAGGAAGTGGTTGAGAAGGTGTACCAAAAACTTAAACGTTTTGTGAAAAGCACATTTATTTTCTGATATATCCTGCTTTAATCTGATCAGTTAATTTGTCTTTGATTACAGTGTTGCCTGTTTCAACATGAAGAGAACACAACCAGCTATCCAGAAAAGCTCAGCTCTCTGAGCTATGACTATGACAGCTTCACTATGGACTACAACACCAGTATAGATTATAGTGAATATAATAACTTCTGTGTGAAAGAATCCAACCGCCAGTTCCGCCGCTGGTTCATGTCCACCTTCTACTCCATCATCTTCTTCCTGGGGCTGACAGGGAACCTCCTGGTCATCCTCACCTTCTTCTACTTCAAGCGTCTCAAGACCATGACGGATGTGTTCCTGCTCAACCTGTCCTTTGCGGACCTTCTCTTTGCTCTGTCACTCCCTTTTTGGGCAGCCAACTCCATGGCAGAATGGGTTCTGGGCCTGCTGGTGTGCAAAGCCATGCACACCATTTATAAGGTCAGCTTCTACAGCAGCATGTTCATTCTCTCTTTCATTAGCGTGGAGCGCTACTTCGTCATCGCCAAGGCCGTCTCCGCTCACCGCTACCGCTCCAAGGCTGTGTTTCTCAGCAAGGTGTCATCAGCTGCCATCTGGGTGATGGCACTGATCTTCTCAATACCAGAAATGAGGTACACCACCGTCAATAACAAAACCTGCACCCCTTACTCCAGCAACTCTGACAAGCTGCGCGTCAGCATCCAGTCGACCCAGATAGTTTTGGCCTTTGCTCTCCCGTTCCTGATAATGAGCATCTGTTACAGCAGCATTATCCGGACCCTTTCAAAGACTCGGAGCTTTGAACGCAATAGGGCCATCAAGGTGATTCTCGCCGTGGTGGCCGTCTTCCTGGTCTGCCAAGTACCTTATAACCTGGTTTTATTTTTGAACACAGTGGTCACAGCACAAGGAGGAACGGTTGACTGCGACTTTGAGAACAATCTCCTCTACGCAACCGATGTGACCCAGTGCGTGGCCTTCCTGAGGTGCTGCCTGAACCCCTTTGTCTACGCCTTCATCGGTGTGAAGTTTCGTCACGACCTCCTGAAGCTAATGAAGGAATTGGGTTGCATGAGCCAGTCGAGCTTCGTCAGGTATAAGTACGGCAGGAGGAGGAGTTCAGGGGCCACAGAGACTGAGACCACCACCACGTTCTCTCCTTGAAGCTCTTTCAGCATGGACATCTGCCTATTCACACCTGCACAGCTCACATTGGACAATTAGATAAAAGTCTAAAAAAACATACGTTATTTGACATGTAAATAGCCAAGTTTATCATAGAATTACATGTATGTGGGGTTTGGTTGTTGTTGTTTTTTTTGTCTATTTGTTGTGTTTATTTTGTCAAGGCTTTGATTGTTTGTTGGGCTACAGTGCACAGTATTTTGATGAAATCCATTGTGTGAATGTAAAATCATGTTTTTCCTAACTTTTTACTTGACAGTGGAAGTTAATATGTGTTGAAACACAATAAAGTTTGATGGAATAACCCTTGTGGGAAAATGGTTCATTAGTGCTGAGTGCATGACATTATTCTCCTAACAATAATCTTACATTTGCTTGAGACAGTAATGTGACATCATCTCATATCGAACGCAGGCTGAAGTGGATCAAATATAAACACAATTCTATTCTGGGAGACTTTGGGATATCTGCAAATATAGAATTGTTGTACGAAGAATATCAATATTTGTATATATATATATATATATATATATATAAAATACTGATTTACACTAATAACGGTTACGATGTGGTGGTTTTGGAATAAAGGGATGTATATTATTTAAAGAGTAAAGAGCAATTTAAAAAAGAAACACATTTATGTTTGTTTCAAAATTATAAAAATGGGAAAATGGCAGCTTGATAATCCTCACTGATTTGATTAAGAACAACTTTCTCCATATGCTCAGTGTTTCCACACACCAGATGTCATAATGTATCCAGAGATCCGTTGACTGTAAGGCTACCAGAGGCAGAAACACCCGAAGCAGAAGACTATTATCCAAGTCATCAGTTACTGAAAACACCCACGAGCTCAGAGTTAATCTCCTGCTTGTTTTCACCTGTCCTTTCAAACACTCCCCAGCTTCTGTACGTGCACCCGGCAGGTGAATATATTATCATGGCAAAGATTAAACTGCTGAGTACGAGTATATGCAAGCACAACATTAAAATGATACGGAACTATATCACATGCACTGCCTCTTCTGATAAACTATTAAACAGAAGAGTTAAGGCCTATCCCTGTGTATAAAAACACACCCCTCAGGTTATAAACTCTACACTGCTTAAATCATGACATCAATAGTTGGAGTTGCAGGATTAGTGATCCTCACTGCTGATTGGCTCACAGGAAAAAGGGTTGGGATTTCCTACATAAAAACCATGCAACACATGAAATGCCAAAGTGAATCAGTGGACAGTGTAAGAGTAATTCAACTTTACCACCACTGAATCTTGAACAGAGATAAGGTAAGACGACTTTCCTTTCCTTTTACTTAGGATATGAATCACATTAAAAGTAGACAGGATTGTTCATTAATCAGCAACTTGAAACAAATATATAAACAGTCTTATGTGTATTATGGCTCTCTGTCCATTATTATTATTATTATTATTATTATTATTATTAATATCACTATTTGATTTGTATACATTTTGTATTATTGCGAAAGGTCAAAGCAGGGACCTTAAATAGCTATGTTGAAGCAAATCAGGATTCTCCACATGTATGCTGACATTTCCTAAAATAAAAAAACTGCAGAATAACTCAAGGTTGCACTACAGATCTATATGCCAGTTGTATTGAATGGCACACTATGTTATTAATCAAGGCGAGGCTCTGCGAGTGGGTGCCCTTCAAAAGCTAACAAACGTTTGGAATTATCTTTTTTTTCTCCAAAAGGAAATTTTTTGTCTGTGGACTACTGGGTCTTAGCTGTTGTAGGAAAACATTATAGTAGTCATGGTAACCAGTAGTCACCTGGTTGACTCATTGGGAACCACTCCTCGTCTGAAAATCGGAGAGGGAGACTACGATTTTCCCCCATATGACACACCCTTCCTGAACAGCTATTCATGCTGATATCAGCCTATCTTAGCCTGTGTCATTATTAATAGAGGGGTTTAGAAAGGGAGAAATGTGTGGGAAGCGTTGGGCAATATATACTGACTTATGTAGGACAGGGACTGTTTCTTTTTCATTGACTTCAGCAAGCGTTGAATGAGCTTACCTTATACAAGATTTTACGATTTCAATTAAATATACTTTAATTATGACCTCTATTGAAGAACATTTCCTGCAACAGCACTGCAGATGTTTGCAAACGTTGCTTTAATCACCCGCGGCAACAATACAACTTGGGATAAGTGTATAGTGCAAAACTGTGGACCAAATGCACTAAAAAACGTTTTTTGAAGTGGGGTAGAATGGGGAACGTAGCTCATAGTCAGTGTATTGAACTCAATAATACACCACCAATTTGGAAAAGCCAAAAGATCTTTGTTTATGGAGTCTGAAAGATTGTTATTCAGGGCTTTTCTCTGTTAATGGATAGACAGGAAAGGGGGAGAGATATTGCGTGACATGCAGCAAAGGACTGCCGGTGGGTTTGGAACCCTGCCTGCTGCGTGAAGGACTCAGGCCTTAGGTCTCAGTGAATGGGCAACACAGGCGTCACAGGTGTGCCTTTTTTTTAGGTGTACATTGCATTGTGTACTTTGCTTCTATACTGAAAATGTTTGTTTCTCGAAACTGGGGGCTTAGGGAGCGCCATAGGGATCGCCTTCTACTGTAGGAAATATACTGACAATGGATAAGTGGATTTTAATTCTAGTAAATTGGAAAGAAGAGAACAAAAGCAGGGGAATGACTGCAGTGAATACAGGTTAACTGATCTCTCTCCATTGTGTCTCTGTCTGTAGGAGTCCCAGAAGACAGTGAGCTCTCCTATCATGATGCCTACAGCTAAAGGCATATCCCAAATGATACCCAATCACGTTCTGAGAGTGGGTCAAACTATCCGCCTTGACGCAGGGCAGGAGAGGGCCAATCAACATCCCATTGTCACGCAGCCCAGCAGTAACCATGGCGACGCTGATCTTGATATTTCCCTGGATAATCTCAACCAGCTCATCATGGAACTGGATCCGACATTTGAACCCATTGAGATCAACAAAAGTCTGCAGTGCTTCAGCCCTCCTACAGGTAAAGTGAACTTTTAGGCTTCTTTCCTTAGTTTCTACGCAGTTCAAACTGTTATTACTTTATACAATTTTTATTTATATAGCACATTTAAAAGCGATCTTTGGTCGAGCCAAAGTGCTGTACATGTAATAAAAACAAACAATACTACAAGAGTCGTGCTCCGCTCTGACTAGAAGGCCAGAGAGAAGAAGTGAGTCTTTAGTGATGATTTAAAAACCCCTAGGGTCTGGGCCGACCTCACATGGAGGGGCAGAGTGTTCCAGAGCCTGGGGCCCGCTGCTGCGAATGCTCGGTGCCCTCGGGTTTTAAGCCTGGTCTTGGGCACTACCAGCAGCAGCTGGTCAGCAGACCTTAAAGCTCTGGCTGGGGTGTAGCGATGGAGGAGTTCAGCTATATAGGCCGGAGCCAGCCCATTTAGTGCTTTAAAAACAAATAAAAGGATTTTAAAATCAATTCTGAACCGAACTGGAAGCCAGTGTAGTGAGGCCAGAATTGGGGTGATGTGGTCACGCTTTTTGTGGCCAGTCAGAAGACGTGCAGCTGCGTTTTGGACTAGCTGCAGGCGTTTAATTGAGGCCTGGTCCATACCCACATACAGAGCGTTGCAATAGTCCAGTCTCGAGGTTACAAAGGCGTTAATAACCCTTTCTAGGTCTTTAAAAGATAAAAACGACTTGGTCTTGGCCAACAGTCGTATTTAAAAAAAGCAGGATTTGACTACGGTGCTGACCTGCTTGTCAAATTTAAAAGTGCTAGTGAAGGTCACTCCAAGGTTCATGACAGAGGAGAGAATGTTTTTATTGAGGGAGCCCAGAATATCAACCGGAGAGGCTGGAGGTTGGGATCCAAAAAAGATGACCTCTGTCTTGCTCTCATTGAGGTTAAGGAAGTTTTTGCTCAGCCAGGATTTTATCTCTATCAAGCAGTCCATCAACTGCTGTAGTGAGTGTTTGACATTTGCTTTGAGAGGCAGATAGATCTGTACATCGTCGGTGTAGCCCAATTCACAGCCTCCAACCTGCAGAGGTGTGACACAGAGCCAAGTCAAACCATAGTCACCATGATGAAACAAATAGTACACATGGCCTGGGGCTTTGGAAATCTACCATCCCTTTGAGAAAGCTTTATTTTTGTATTAAGGGTGTAATTACATCACCTTAGATTTTCTTGGATTACTGCCCAGACTAGTACTACAACCTGAACATGTAGGACTACAGTCACAGGAGAAGATGCAGACGAGGGTGGTGCTTCACTTAGACCTGCTCTGATCAGAAAGTGTGCACAAGAGTCACCAATGCATAAATATGGATTTCCTGTTGCATATCTTTTTTTGAGAAATGTTTGGTGAGGTGTTTATGAGACTATGTGAAGAACGAGTTTGAAATAAATAAAGTAACAGTGATGAGAATCAAACAATGAAAGGTCAATCCGTTACATCAGTTCATGTTCATGCTCTGTGTTGATGAGTACTTCTTTCCTATTGTTGCAAAATACAGCATTTCCCCTCAAAACAACACTCACCACAGCACCTTCCTATAGTCTCTGACACATTTAGCTCTTTCTGTTCCAACATTAGTCATTATTATGTAACTTTGGTTTCAGACGCCACCCATCATGCAATGACCACAGGCTAGTGTTTTCTTCTGGGAATAAACTCAGTCAGTGCCCAGCAATACAGCAGAGAAAAAACAGAACCTCGACTTCACAAGAACAAGTTGAGACTGATCTGAGTGATTTGGGATCGTCACCGCAGAAATGCACAATTCAAAGAATTTAGCTTGGAAAGATTATCCTGAGCTGTGCAAGCAAGTACCTGCATATGAATGTCTCTATCAGGAGAGTGTGTGTACATACAGAGGCCCATCCCTTTCTGCTAACAGAAAATCAAAGCATGAAATAAGAGAAATTATGGAAGACGCATGTTTTTTTTCCATATAGTTCAGTATTTTTTGCTAACACATTCCTCTCCATTCTTTCTCAGACGACTCAGATGAAGAGGACTCTCATTGCGTGCTGGTCCCCAGAGGATGTCCTCCCTGCTCCCTGCCCACTCAGTTCCCATCTGTGTCCCCCAGTATAGCCATCCCTACACCCAGCGGTGTGTGCTGCAGCCCCCACGGCACACTGGTGTTCTCCAGCTCCCCTACAGCCTCCCTGCCCCCACTGCCGTTTGGGAGTGCACCCCGACGAAATCACTCTTCAAGACAAGACACAAACCTGTGCTTGTCACACTCAAACAGAAACAGTGCCGTCTCCCTCCTCTCCATGTCAACATGCTC